AGATTACACTCATTACTTTTATTTACACATAATTATGTTCACAACACCGTTGAAATGTTCCAACCTTTTTACTATTTTTTATTGGACGAATTTTTAATTTATTTGAAACGCTTAGCCCTTTTTACCTCACTTCTTGACCGATAATAACATTATAATTAAACTAGAGCACTATCTTGTGATTTTTAAAATAGTAATAAACATTAGGCAATAACCTTGATTTACTTCTACTATGTATCTCCCTCGGATTAATAGCTCATTTTAGCATTTTATCGTATATCAGCACCACATGTTTATTACCATTTTTATTACTCTCTTATTCGTATTTGTACAGATATAATATGTTCATTCTATTTAAAATCAACCTTTCCTGACTAAAAAAAATTGAAGTCAAGTAATCTCTCAATATTGATAAATAATGAATAATTTTGCATTCCAGAACAGCAAAATAAATGTCTCTCTCTCCTTCATCCAAATTGTTTTACCATTCTTCACTTTAAATTTAGCAGCTGAGCCGTCTTTTGGCATTTCTTTTTATGTAGCCTCGTTTACCTCAGCCATGTCTACTTTATGGCTCAAATTCTTCACTCTCTCAAAGTCCGAGTCGTTTTTTCGGATCTACATCCTTCGCAATGGCTCGCGCTTCCTCCGCAGCGTTTGCCATAATTTGGAACCCGTGTTTTGACTCTGGAACCTCACCGGCTCAGACAAAATCCCAGCCAGCAGACCTTCAGGTTGGTCGACCGATGTCGATAGCCTTGAGCTGGCTGCCGGGCCGCCAAACAACATGTCGTAGTGGTTCAATCTAAGGTCGACTTTCTGAGCCATACAATCAATAGATTTTTGTCCATGACATGTCCGCCTCCGTGGATACACACGCTCGAGGCCAACTTCTAAGGCACAGCACATGCGTGGAGGGCAATCTGCTTCGGAATAACACTCTAATGACCTTTGCTCCTCTGGTGTGTAAATGATGTCAGTGCATTGACCATACGGCAGACCTAAGCCAAGAGAACGTAAACGAAGATGCAAACAGGTTTTTGTGGGGTTACTTGTACAATGTCAAGTGTAAGGATATGTTTTAAAGGTGAGATAATGGTAATAATAATAATAATATTGAGAATGCGCTATATGGGAAAGCAAATGGTTCATTAAAGTTTTTTTCAGAACTGATAATTGATAAAAAAATTAAAAAAATAGGATAAGCTTGCTAGCTTGAAATTTATCTGGTTCAATTCAGATTTCTAAAGAAAGTCCACGGATTTTAAGACAAGAAACTATGCATTCAAGGGCACCTATAATAAGAAAGGAAAATCACATATCATACTCAAATTTTAGGAACACATTATCGATAATTCGGCCATCAAATAGTATAAGTTTACCCGAAAGCCAGAGGTAATGCTGGTTTCCACATAAATTCAATGTAATTACGCCAAATATTCATAATCTAATAACATTCATAGGTTTGTATTACAGATATTTTATAACGAGAAATGTAAATGAAGGAAGCCCTTTCTTGTATTTAATCTTATACCTGCAGGCCATATTTGCTATCACTGACCTTAACTAATTTGTGATATTGTAGAATATTTATAAAGTGTCTTCCAAATGTGTTATTTCAACGCATATATTCTGAATAAAGCAAACATTTCGAGGGCAAGACAGAATTACATTTTCCGGTCTAGTAGCTGTTTTTGATCAATTTATATTGCCATTAATTGTAGCCTGGGGTAATAAAATTTTCGCAGATATCCTGTGACTCATACATTTACTTACAATGAAAGTTGCTACATATTTTATTGTGATAAAATATTATTGAAATTATCAAAAAATTCTTGACTGTCGACATAAGATATTTTTGTCTATAGGAAGACCAAGGTGTGGTCTTTCGCTTTGCCCCAATCTCTTTCAGTTGTGTAGTCTCGGTCTAGGCTAGTTTTCGCGACTAGGCCGGAGAAATATGTAGAATTTGTTTGTCGTACACAGTTCTGCATCCTCTTTCATAATATTCGGGATAATTCTCATCATTGAAACGGTGACTTGGTAACTTTCAATACGTTTTGTCGACATTGTCAGTGAGAGGCACCATCCTTGGCAAAGAGGTACAATCTACCAAAGAGGCTAATAAAAGCCATCCCCTCGACCAAGTTTCTTTTCAACCATTAGAACCTCTCTCCTTCTCTCCTTTTCGAGCTTCTAACCCTAAATTTCATTCTTCAACCATGCTTCATAGATCCTTTGTTTGTCTTTGCTTGCTCCAATGCCGATTAAGCGTGTGTTACTGCAATGGGGATTTAATAAAGCCTATTCATTTCCTCCATCAATTTCAGATGCAGTTCACCGGGCTTCTCGGGCCAAATCCGCACTTTTATTTAGCCCCTTTTCACTCTGCTTGTCACCTTTTCTTTGTTAAGCATCAAACTGTCTGTCTATCTAGCCGCATATAAGCCTTCAATTCTGTCCCCTGTTTACTACATTTTTGAAGATTTAAGAAACAATGATTCTTATGCCTAGACTTCTTCCTTTACTTATGCTTCAGACCCATTACCAAGTTATTCTCATCCTCATTCCTACTTCATTATTTGGTATTCTTTGATGCCCTGTATCTCCAGTCATTTGGAACCGCTAGTATGGAGATGGAGATGTTTGTCTATTAATGTACCAAGTTAATGGCTCGCTGCTGGAAATTATCATATATATGCTGTGACAGAGGAGGCAGGACTAAGTATGTTTCTCTATCTCTCCGATCAAGTTGCCAAAATGAGGTCAAACTAACGATATAAGATTCTTTACAAAATTACTCATTATAGATTTTGTTTTGAGTAGGTTTTAGGTACTACCAGTAAATCAGATATATGAGCTGTTCACTCTATCTAAATTGAGAGATGAGATTTTAATTACCAATTCATCATCACCTTAAACGAAATAGAGGGAGTACAGCCCATGCTCAATATAGAGCTTCATAAATAGCTGTCGTTTCAATTACGACGTATATGTCGTTTAATATACTCCGCAGAGAGTTTCTCACTAGGATTACAATAAAATATATGTTATATGGCCTAAAGTGAATATATCAGACAGCATTTAAATTAATCATGAGTCTGAGAATTAAATCATTCTATCAGCAAATTTAGGTCTATGGTTTAGAATAAGAGTCAAAATATATTATAGTTATCGTGGAATATGCATTATATTATAGTATATGATTCAGACTGAAATGTTGCTTAAAAGTAAGCTCTATCGGCCAACATTTTATTTACTTATTTTTTATTAATAAGATTTAGCCTCAACTGAAGATTATTTTTTATTCTCCTTTAAGGATAATGTTCATTAAAAATGATTTATAAATTTTTCATTAATTTCTTATGGATTCACAAGTCATTGGGAGAAAGTTTTTCTTTAATAACGGATTTAAAACTAATCTATATAGAAAATCTGCCTTCTAGTACATAGAAGACAAAGCCTTCGAACAAAAGGAAGGAATTAATTCATTATATTTGTTTCCAGAGCTGCGGACTACCTACACCTACCCTTGACATAGATTCTATCATTAGTTTGACCTCAAATCACCATTAAAAAAATATTACTTTGGTTTCGAATGATAACACTTTGTAGTGAAAACATTTATTTATTTCTAATTCTTACTTCTTTTATGGGATACGATGCATGAAATAGGCTTGATGCCTTGCTGTTCTTATACACACAGATCAGATTACATACACATCTAGTTGGAATGGCCAAAACAATACCACCGGGCCGTATAGCAAGTTATGGTATACGACACTTATTCTTGTTTTCTGTGTCCCTAAAAGTGATAATATAATTCTATATATTTGTTTTTTTCGTCTTATCAGAAGTCTTACAAATTAATCATTAAAATGCATTTTCAATACCTTTATACACTTGTGGACGATGCCTTATCTGCCTCCAGCCTAAAAAAACTTGATAAATACCATTAATGTCTAATCCGAAAGTTTTACTATGTGGGGACAAAATAATATAGATACATAAAATCTTTTAAGTCAATTATTGCTTTTAGTTCTCATATTTCCTTTTAAGTTGTACCGCTTAGTTTAGTACTTGCGCCTTAATAGCAACATTTACATTTCAGCTTTTGAAAGTTTATATAGCCTTAGCTTTTGTAAATGATTCGTATAATGCACATAATTCTGCAGGTAAACGTTTTTGCATCACACGCTTATCCAAATAAATTGAATTCTTAAAGCTTTATAATAGAGCTGGTGTTTTCCTTCTAGATTTATTAATTTCCCTAATGAGTTTACTCGCAAGCCATTATGTATCGCTGCCCTAATACTTCTCATCAACTTCTGGCATGAGGCTATGTTCAATATATGTTTATATTTTAAAAATGATCAACGTTTTGGAACTTTGAGCATCATGGATGTATTTTCTTCTTATCCTCGGCATTAATGCTATTAAATTTAGATGTCTAAAACCGCAGTCCCCAATAAATCAACTAATTTTTTCCACTAACTTTAGCTGCTTTATTTGTGTGAGTGTCCCCAGACAATATATCTAACGACCTTCCCTTTGACTTGGTATGATATTAAAACTGCTTTGACTAGCAGCATGTAAAATGCATCGCTAGAGAACGCTCACTTAATAACAGCATAAGTCATGGAGGACTATTAAATCAAATCAATGACATGAAAAGGAGCTGGCACAAAAGAGTCAGCAACGCTTAACTATAAAATATGCCAAATTGAGAATAAATACATAAATTAATTTTTGTAATAAAGAAAAGCAAACAAACTTATAAAAGTCTTTCCTAAGGTGCTTAAGCAAGTCCTATTATCCAAGAGCTATGAAAGCTTTAAACTCTTTTTCTGGACCTAAATTTAAAGAACAATACGAGGACCAGAAAACCGGAATATTGACGAAAATATCGGTGGGAAATTAGTCTCTGCAAAAAGGGTAAAACTATCTCTGCTGAGAATGAGAATATTGTCTTGTTAGGTAACAGATTTATTAGAAATAAAATAAAGTAGCTACAAGCTAAATTCCAAGTTAAAAACTAAATCTGAAAAATTGATTATTTTTATAGTCGGTTAACATAAAAATAGTTTTAATTTTTTAATAATGAGATCAAGTTACTCCTTTATATAATAAACATTTGAAGGCAGGCAAGTTTTACTGTGCTTGATGATCAAACAAGAAATTAGCTAATACGCAATATAAAGCATAAATTTTATTTCCTAAATTAAATTAAAATAATGCATTATAGGCAATAAGTAAACATAAATTTTAAACATTACAACTTGTGTGTTTAAAAATAAATAATGAAAATGGTAAAAAAGAAAGGAATAAAGACTTTGAGGAAATTAAAATTCGGCGTAGATAGAAATCATATGAAAATAGCGCTATGATTCCAGAGGAAAATAGCCAACTACTTCAGTATTACATAAAGTAAATATCCATTCGTTAATACCAAACGGATCTTTTGTTTAGACTCTAGTATTAAAGTCATAAAGTCTTTTGCATTTGTGCACTTTATTTATGCAATATTTTAAAGCCATTTGCTTCTATGATAACTGATACAGTAAATGCTAGGTTCGTTGAATAGGAAAGCGTGGATTTACCAACATTTCGTTTTCGCTGTCTCTTATAAACCATTCTCAATTATTCAGCATAAATCCTATGCCTATAATAATGATAATAAATATTTTAGAGTCGCATACACTTGACTGTTATTTCTCTTGAATAAATATATTCCTTAAGCCAGTGATTTACATACTGTGCGCCACGGCGCCCCGGGGAGCCGCGAAATATTGTAAAAGCCTCAATTTGAGAAAATTTGCAGTGATTTGCAGGCTCAACCATCACATTAATTATTAAATATTAATTAAATGTTAATAAAGTAAAATTAAATAACGAAAATACACGAGTTT